CTTGCAAACTGCATAGCTTGCAGGTGCGCTTTTGTCGTCGTGGACTGCAGCATCACAAACACATGGTGACGATGGGAGTCCCTGACAGTTAAGGTAACCAGAAAGGTACCGAAAACACCCTCTGCTGCTTATGCACGTGTAGGAAGACATCTAACACCTCGGCAACGAAACAGTCAGTCGGGCGTCAGCCAGGCACCTGCTTCAATTTGAAGAGGCGTTCCATCACAATAACCCCTGCTTCATAAGGAGTCACCGATCTAGGCACCTTAACCCTGCCACTCGAAACACTAAGGCAGCCCCCGACTGCAACAAGTATTGCGGCGTAGTATACTGTGGCCAGATCACAGAATATGAGCACAGGCAAAAAGTACTACTTGCTACAGTGCTCTTACACTCTACTCTTAGGAGCTTCAAGATCACGGCCCTGCCTCCCGCTGACCTCCATGAAGTCTGAGAGGTCTAAGTGCCCCGAATGGACCAACCTCAGCAGCTCCGATCCAAAAACGTTTCAGTTAATATAGGGGCCTCAAAAGTTGGAATGGGTTTTTTGGGGCCCATCATACTATACTTATCTTACCGAACCTCCAAAATGGTATTGGTAATTATTTAGGCCCCTATATTATTTGGGGACAGGTTCTTCAGTCAGTGACAGCACCAGCGCGTGGGGAAGGGGAAGAGGCGGAGTATATCTGGGCCAAAACACCAAAATGCTTCAAGCAATAATGGGAAGACAGTGGTGAGGGAAGCAGTGGCGGGGGTCGGGGCGGGGCAGGCGTTTAGTTATATTGGAGTTATATAGGGTTTATAAGACTAAAACAGCCCAACAAAAGCTTAAAGCTTACCTTTTCTACTGCTAAGGCCTTTCGGTCTGTTGGCCGCTTAGGGGAGACAGGGGAGCCTTCAACTTCAAAGAAAAGGCTCGCCTGAGATACAGAATGAGAAGTTCAAACAACAGCGGACAGGGAGTGAGAGAGGGAGGAAGAGACCCAGGATCAGTTGTCGAACCCTGACCCGGTGTATCCTTAATTTTCGCAACACCAGGGACCTCCGCAGCATCTGAAACTACGTACTCGACCTATCTGCCACACCGGCACACCTGCAGTCCTGTGTTCGAGTTTTGCATCGCCATGGACTTGCGCAACACTTGATGGCATTCTTTGTGCGGCGCGGCTCTAGGTTATGGACAAAGCCTTTATGTGTACATTTGTATGCGTTTATACACATTACGCATCATGTAGAATTATATATGGCTATAATTATCTTAAATAGAAACATATTATGTTATGCCATACTTCATGTTTACATCATACTGTATTTTGGTATATTCTGTTGTGTTGTATTACACTACCTTACACTATAGCTTTCATGACATATTTGGTTACGCAAAACGGTGTAATGTTTTAATGTAGGTGTTAGTCTACTGCATTATGTCAAAAAGATATTACAGCATATCCTGTTATTTTACTTACGAAACAACAGGCTAGACATGTTCTTCATGCTGTATGATATGACATTACTTCAACTTCAACTGTATTAAACTATACCGTATGTCATTATAACAGTTGACCCGTTCTCGAATTTTTGGTAAATATACCATGAAATTCTATTCTGCTGACTGATTTACATGTTGTATGATCCTATGTGTTTTTGCATGGTATCTAACGAGACCAAATAGTTTGATACTATGTTGTATGTTGTCATTAGATTTTATGTAATGTATGCATACTGTCTGATATCAGGTTAGAACAGACTATTTTTCATTATTCCATATTACATTTTGCTGATTTGACATTATATGGGGCACATCACCTGTTTTGATACAGTATTAGTTACATTACACTGTATTCGACTGAATTAAAACTGACGTGTATTACGATATGTTACATTATGGTAGATTATATTACATGTTAATATGATTTTGTTTTATCTTAATTCTCAAGCCCTGAACCCTAAGTGCTGAGACCATCTGCAGCCACAACCTGCAGGGTGGAAGGCCGAACACCGCTGCCGGTATGTACTGCGGCTTCTGGTACGTAAGTTGCGACTGCTCAGAAGAGACCAGGCACAGTGTAGGGTGAAGCTTAGGATTCGATGCGGGCATATGCTTTCGAGGTGCAAAGTTGTACGGCCACTGTAAGAGTTTCAGCCTAGAACTTTGATTCATGCACGACAAAAGCCTTTGACTGCCTATACAGTGGTTGGCACCTTCCGAGCGCGACGCCTGAACTTTAAAACTGTTCCTGCGCACGGCGCAGGGATCTGGGCTGCATGCATCAAAGGCCGCTGTTGAAAGTGCGGACCAAGCTTGCCCCGAGAGGTCCAGAACCGGCAAATGAGCAATGTATCCTGTTGAAGGGATTAGTTCGGCTCTCTGGGTCTATCGGGCTTGGGAGCAGCACTTGGCACCTGAGAGGCACCTCGTCCCAGACATAGTAGTAATACCCCCTGAGTCTTATGCAGGGGCAACGGATGCAATCGGCTTCCTGTGGAAACTCCTCCTGTCCAAGGTGCACACACCTTTCAAGCAAACAGAAGCCAAACCCATGCTCTCCGTCCGTCTGTCCGTCCATACTGTGTATGTATTTACATATATATATATATATATATATATATGTATATGCATGTATATCTCCGTGTGCGGATTCGTCCAGTCGTGTTTATGCATATCAGCACCTATGTACAGGTGCGAAACACACAAGGTGCGGTGGACAGGTTGCACCACCAAACCGCCCATTTACATGTGTATGTATGTGTGAGCAGTGGTGTGTGATATTGAGCATACGGTATGTATCATGTCATTTAAACGATTTCTGAAACATATGCACATGTATACTTGTGTAAGTAGATCTATATGTTTATCTCTACGTGGGTACTATGTTGCTGCATCACATATACTGACATATACGTACGCACATAGGACGTGTCATGCATGCCTGTTGTACTCTGCGGCTTAAAGCCATGGAGATCCGTGCCTGCATACGCTGAAGGTCATCGACATGCATGCGCGCTGCCTCTCTACACACGTCAGATAATCTTTGTGGCACTCGCACTCGACAAAGTCAGGCTAGGGTTCAACACAACAAACCAGCTAATCTTACATATATACACACACACGAAGCACGAAAGAGAGCACTCACACGCTCACTCTGTTCTCCCCTTCCTTTCTTTCTCTCATTTCCATATGTGCACACAGCATCCATCCACCCATGCGTTTCATCCCACTGGTTGCAAAGACGAATGCGTGCATGCACAACTACACATCCCACGGACGTGCAGGCATGCTTGGCACGCGCGACGCAGGCCACAAACAGCAAGATCGCGTAAAGCGACATAACAGCACAGACTATGACTGAGTTTTGGATCCGCTTGAAATCTAACATCCCTCGCACATGCTGTAGTCCAAGAGCCCAGACACTCTCAACCCCTAAAGTCCCAAAAGAAACTCAACCGGAGAAGCCCCTGCGCAAGAAGCCACTCAGCCACCTCGGGGAAGACGAAGAAGGGCCGTCTCGAGACTCACGGCGAAAAGGTTTTTATACGGGGTTCTACGCTTACTTCTAGGTTTGCTGCATGACTGCAGGGGTCACTTTCAAGGTTACAACGGTGGCTCTATAAGGTTACCGCAAGGGTTGAATAAGGGTTACTAAAGGTTAGGGTTCAGGACGTGGGGGTTTTCTTGGTTTAAGGGTGTTAGATGAAGTTTTTCTGGTTTACCTGTTTAATTCCCTGACTTAGGGTACAGAGTTTGGTGTCTTGGGGTAAATCCAGCGGTGGTTCCCTGTACATGAGATATGACATACTATACCGGCTACACCCGTAATGGGTTCAATGAACAGCACCGCGACTCGACTCAAGGCGGCTGTAGCAAAGCTACCCTTCAACGAGGCGGCCTGCATATTCTCGGCATGGGAGACATCGGGAGCAGTGTCTTAGGGTACAGGGTATCTCATGCAGCTAAGGATAGGGTTTAGGGTATCAGAAAAGGTTCGGGAAGTGTGTTCCCATTTTTGCTGGAAGCTCCTGATGTGTCGAATTTTCGGGGGTGCTTAGCCTGTACAGTGCAGGGCTTGTTGCCTGTTTGCCACAGAGCCCACGAGCGCATGATTCATGGTCTTTGTACAGCGAACTACCGACACACTGCTTGGGAGTACAGCTCGACCACACAATGCCATGCAGTGACACCGCAAGCCAGCGCCGACATCTGCTGCAAACCGATTTCTATCTACAGCTGCTTTGAGAGCGACGAATGCTGTCAGTGCCAGCATATGCGTCCCTGAACGGCCCAAGAGCCGCAGTAAAGCAACTGACAACCCTTGGGAAGTTCTGGTGTGTTTAGCTGTAATTTCTCAGCATCTGATTACAGTATGTCCCTGCATTCTTCAAAACAGTACATCGCGGCAAGTCGTGCAAAGTCGAAGGAAGTACGTTTTGCGCATGAACAGTATGAATAAAGCTTGTTGGTCTGGTAGACTACAACTATGCATACCTGGAAATCCTACACAAAGCCGTCACCAATTATTCAAGATCCCACACCGACAGTATCGCCGGCAGACAATACCCTATACCCTAAACTCCAATCTACGTTTCCTGCGTTCTTTCCGAGCTGTATCCTCTCAGTGCTTGCATGCACGAGCACGGCTCTCCAAAGCTCGAACATCTGTGCAGCATACACTACAGTATACAATGATACATTATATACTACACTACACTATACAATAGCATAGCTTGCTGTAACATATTGGAACATGGTGTTAGATGAGACAAGATAAGACAAGACAATCTGCAAGATAGAACAAGATAAGACAATACGTCTTCAATGTGGTCACGATGCAGGCCGTCTTGCCAGGCACGGGGCTTCATGTGCGTGAACCCAACCTTTCCACCCTGCATGCATGTAACTCTCCCTCCTGGTAAACTGCGAACACTGAATCAGGCATTCGGTGGGTGGGCTCATCATACCTGGGCGTTACAAATGCAGCCTGGCACGGTTTCTTCGTGCTTCATACGATGTGGAAGTTGAGCTGCTGATCGCCCACGTCCAAAAGCCTGCAGACACCGGGGCCGAAGCCAAGCCAGGTGGGGCTCGAGCCTGCTACCCAAAGCCGAACAGGATGCACGCAGCCGCGACAAACGCGAGCAACCTGTCCCAAAGGCCCTCAAATCTGAAGAAAACCGCCAACAGTCGAGGCAGGGCGCGTCCCAACTGGTTCGTCCGAGCTGAACTCCACCTGCTTGGCAAAGATTTATGCCACGAGCGGCAGCTACAACGGAAACGAGTCCCCAAGATACTTGCAACTGCTACGAGCGACCTGTGAACTCTACAGCAAGATCATCGCAAGGCTCGACGCCCTCAGAATCGATGCAGTGACTTCCATGACTCCCCGCGCGATTTGCACGCCTCGATGACAGTGACCTCACCTTAGCTTGACACATCTTTGTGCTCGGCGGCTCGACTGTGCAAACTCTCGACCGCCGCACTCAGCGCTACATGGTGTCTAACTGCGGCATACAAGTCGCTTTGTTCAGATCAAGCTTTCCGGCTTTGCGAGTGAACAAGATCCGAGCTTCTACTAGGTTGTCTAGGTTACTAATCATTACTAAGCCTACATACACGATACAACTTCAAAGAGCGGTCAGGGTGTCCTTTCAGCGTCCTCCAGAATCCTGCAATACCTGAGAAGTGAGCTCTGCCACCACGGCACCGACCGACCGCAGGCATACGCCGCAAACCTCCGCGTCGGCCCCAGCAAGGGCGATACGGTCGCCAACGCAGAGCTCGGAGGCGGTAACCACCTTCGGAGCTGTGCACGTGGTCGATCTATCCGTCCAGACAAAAGTGCTAAGCACCAAGCACATGTGCTACGCTGAAAGTCTCTTCCCCGCCCAGTGCCGTGGCTTTGCACATCGGCGTCTCACAACTTGCAAAAAACCGTGCTCGATCAACCTGCTACGGTTTAGGGCTTGTAGTGTTTATGCTTTTAGTTTCGGGCAGTTTCGGGCTTATATTATATATAATTGACAGAGTGTACCGCCGATTAACGCGGGGCCTGCCGGCAAGAACCAGGCTGTCCCACAATCATCACGCGGTGGCTTGCCTCGGCCCCATGCTGGAGTCGACACGAAGATTCAGGCGAGGTGCAAACTGATAGGTACAAACACGAAAGGACACTATATCGCTTCCTCTGCGAGCAGGCACTATATGTCGGTATTCATATATGTAAAAAATATGTGTACGCACATACACATCATACTACACAGTGTCCCACATGTTTATGTGCGTTGCTGTAACGGAAACTAGCCCACCTCCAAACACACTCAAGCAGCCGCTTGCATTAGACCCCAGCACGAAGTCGCAAGCTCACAGCCTCGAGCTATACCTCTTCCGGACCGAACGAGAGTGGACCAGCCAAGTAAACATTGGGCGTGGTGTCACCACTACTAAGCCGCTAAGCTTCTGAGCCTTATGAATCACAAATCTTCAGCGCTTGCCTATGCGGTCTTGAGCGCACCAAGAAGCAACTACAGTTGTCGCAGGAAGGTCCTCGTTCAGGGTCAGCTCGACCACTTCGCACTCGCTGACATGGCGAAACGTCACAGAGAGTACCTTGTTTGGAACATACAGCCATCTATCTATCCATCTACCTGCCTACTTATCCCACCTACCTTCGTGGATATCTATCGCCTCATCTGTTCAAACTAACTGTATTAAAAGCTATGTACTATCACATATACTATGTCGACCACATGGTATATTCGGCTAAATGTTAGTTTGTAAAGTATGGTAAGTTTAGGTATGCATTGTGCTATATGTGTTGCTTTGTTATTTGCATCTTAATATACAGCGGATACTAGGTCGTAGAGCAAACACTATATTATACATTCTGTTACATGCGTATATACATATGTATATACATGTTGTACATGTGTGTGTACAGATATACATGTATGTACATATATATATATATATGTATGTATGTATCTGTATAAATGTATTCTGGCCGCTGCCGGCTAGAGCTCTAAAGGCCTCGACCCTCCAGTTGCCCACTCCGCTGTGTTTTGGCTTCAAGGTGGAACTGTTAGCGAGAAAGAATTGCGCTCGCCAGCCGCAGGGGCTGCTCTGAAAGGAAAGTCGCCACCCAAGGAAGTGTCTGGCTCAGCAAACTAGTGAGGACTAAGCCCTCAGTCTTGAAGGCCAGAGCAATGATAAGACCCAAGCTTGAACTGGTAAACACGAGGGCTTGGTGCATCTCAGAGGCCTCCAAAGGCGTTCCGACAGCGCTGCGCACGACAGTCTGAAGCACAGCTGTGATATTCGCACGTTCAATCGATCTGCAAGTGCTTTTCGTCCAGGACATTGCATTGCAAAACTGAGCACGGTATTCCTGGCCTGCTTACCAAGCCCGTATCAAGATGCAGAAGACTTCGCTCAGCGAGAAAAATCTGTTGCTGGTGCTGCTGCTCCTACTAACCAACTACTACTTACTACGAGTACCACTACGACGACGACTGCGACTACGACGACTACGTGACGAACACCACGACCGCGACCGCGAAAGCAAAACAAATCACGACCACCACAGTCCCTGCCGCTGCCACTGCCACTACCGACAGTACTGCGACTACCACTATCACTACCACTACCACTACCAACCAGACCAACCACCACTGCTTCAACTGCTACTCCTACTCCTACTGCGACTACTACTCCTACTGAATGTTCGTGCTACTGCTACTGCTACTGCTGCTGCTGCAGCTACGGCTACGGCTACAGCTACCGCCAAAGCTCCATTTGTTGCTGCTGCTACTCTACGACGACGATGACGACGTAGTACTTCGACTACTACTACTACTACTACTACTACTACTCCTGCTGCTGCTACTACTACTACTACTACTACTACTACTACTACTACTAGTACTAGTACTAGTACTAGTACTAGTACTACTACTACTACTACTACTACTACTACTACTACTACTACTACTACTACTACTACTGCCACTACTAGTCTTACTAGTGCTACTGCTGCTGTTCTGCTGCTATTACTGCTTCTTCTTTTGCTTCCACGACGTCTACTCTTCGTTTTTTCTCATTCGTCAGAGATCCAACTTCGGCCCGGAATCCAGGCCTTGGGCCGCAAGGCTTCGGCCTCCACAGTGCCCTCGGTGGAGCTGAAGGTGCCTCGATGGCGGAAACCCTTAACCCAAAGACCTAACCTAGAATACCGAACACCGAACCACCTGTAAGTAAAGGCGACTTGTGGGGGGCGTGCTCAACCTTAGATCGGGCTGCGCCGTCCACCCACAGACAGGACGGCACGACATGAGGGTTTCAGAATATTCCCTCTCTCTTTCTGCGGTGCCATCCCAGAACTTTAGGGGCCTCTATTGCAGGGTCCTTCGTGTAAAAATCTTGATATTTAGGGGTCTATGTCGGGGTCCCGTGTTTTCTCAAACTCGAATGTTTCCGAAGGTTGTAGGCAGGAGAATCCGAAATACAATCCCACATGCCAGTCACGCTTCCGCTTGGGCGGACTATCCTTTCCCCAGCCTGCATATGCTCTGGGGGAGCAACCGTTTCCGAATCACCCCAAGCCCTTAACCATGCTTGAACCCAAGCCCCAGGCCCTCAACCACAACCGAAACCAAAAGCCCGCACTCCATTGACGTTCTCAGCCATCAGCCCAACCCCTGTGGTCTCATCATGCGAATCCGAATTCGGCTGCCGAGGTGCTACCAGGCAGAAATCGGTGCACCTCCGGCAAGGAGGCTGTGGGTTTCTTCAGTCAGGATGAGGCCTGGGGGTTCAGGCTTTAGGAGTTGTTTGTATGAAGCCTTGCTGTGCGACATTTTCTGCAGGCCGCGACTTGTTGCAGGGTTTGACTGCAGATTCTGAGGTTCTCATCAAGCCCGCAAGCCCCTAATTATATTGCGCAACATGCCTTAAATCATATCAAGGATTCCTCGTCCTATCCTGAACCGTTACCCTGCCAAATAGAACGCGACTAAAACCCAAACAGCACCTTGACATACCTTCACTACGCCCTTGCAGCACCCTTCTAACGACCTCTGTCATCTAGGAACCTGCGGAAACGCTTTGTGTGTCTCAGCTAAGCGGAGGCGCAGAGGTGGACACGAAAAACGCGAAAACGCGAAAAACGCGAAAAATGCGAAACACACGAAAAAAACGCTAAAAACACGAAAAACGCGAACAACAGTGTGGTGGTAGTAGTAGTAGTAGTAGTAGTAGTAGTAGTAGTAGTAGTAGTAGTAGTAGTAGTAGTAGTAGTAATAGTAATAGTAATAGTAATAGTAATAGTAATAGTAATAGTAATAGTAATAGTAATAGTAATAGTAATAGTAATAGTATCAGTATCAGTAATAGTAATAGTAATAGTAATAGTAATAGTAATAGTAATAGTAATAGTAATAGTAACAGTAGTAGTAATCGTAATCGTAATAGTAATAGTAATAGTAGTAGTAACAGTAACAGTAACAGTAACAGTAACAGTAACAGTAACAGTAACAGTAACAGTAATAGTAATAGTATTAGCAATAGTAAAAGTCATAGTAATAGTAATAGTAATAGCACTTAGCACTAATAATAGTAATAGTAATCTTAATAGTAATAGGACATAGTGAAGTAAGAGTGTTTTTAGCGTTTTTTGTGTTTTTTCGACTTTTCGTGTTTTTCGACTTTTTGCACGCTGAACGCCGACTCTGCTTGTACACGACGCGCAAAATGCTCGCTTAGGAGCCCTTAAGCAACCCTACAAGCGCCTCTATAAACACCTGAAAATCGCGACATCTTACAAGCAAAGTCTGGCTCTACCGCCTGGACGGCTGCAGATGCTAATGCTTGCGGCGTGACCACGGAAAAGGAGATCTCCTGCTGAAGCTGCAGGGTTCATGCGAAGAAATTTAGTTTTGAGTTACTTGATTAGGGATCATTGGGAGTTTATGGTCAATAATAAGGCTTCCTTGTTATGTGAATTTAAATGAAACTCCTTGAAAAGAGCCCGGACTCCGGCTTCGGAGAGCCCAAAGGCCGTACTCAAGGAATAGCTTCAGCAATATTGAGGATGCCTCCATAGTTGAGCTGAGGGCGACACGAAAGCACACAGTGGTACACAGATCCCTTCATGGCACGAGGTGAACTTCGACTTAGCTGATAACTGGTGTAAAGCGGCAGTAGGGATGGCACGAATGAGCAGGAAACGAAAGAAAATCTGAAACATGCAACCCTGACGCCTTTCCGTGGCAATGACACGCGACACCGACGCGCTCTCAAAGATGCTTTGAGGCAGCTCCAACACCGACTCATGATCAACACCCCTGAAGTCATGAGTTACTCTTCCTCTAGACAACATGCATCCTTTAGGAAGGGATGTTGGGGTCTCTCGTTATCTAGCTTCTTAGCTATCTTTCTGTCGCGGCCGGCGGCTTCGTTGCTCCTATGCCCTTAACTCCGGATGATACCCAAGCCCCAGACATCCCGAAAGCCTAAACTGCAAACCCGAATACTACAGCGAAGACAGACCAAACGTGAAACCCTCGCGAACCCGTCTCAAAGTCGGCGAAAACTGCCGGTTTAAGAGATCAGGGTCAAGGTTTTGCGGTTTGACACATCAACCAGCTCCACACCATCTTCTGCCCGAGCCGCGGAATCTGCACGGACAGGAGCTGGAAGCAAAGGCTCCAGCAACGGTGCCGAAGAGATGGCACCTGAAGTGCAAAACTGTGGCTGCTTTCAGGGTTTGGATAGAAAAATAAAAAAACAGGGTTTCCATCACCCCCATGAACCATGATCAACATCACTGCTGCTGTCCAAGGTGCTCACTGGTCCTTGCCACGGGTGCTCACCGTACCAATGGAAAGCCAGAATGCCGATCATGCCAATCAGCAAAGACTGAGCAGGAGCTTTGTTTTCCAACATAAGTCGGCGCTGTTCCTTGCAGACCGAGGTCTAAATCTACCAGCCCGCCCAGTCATGCAATACCGAGTGCGTCGTCAGCTAGAGGGAGACAGCGAAACTCCACAGCCAGCAGCAGCAACAGCTACAGCAACAGCAACCGCCACCACTACAACGACGACGACAACGCCAACGCCCACGCGTACGACAGCCACAGCAGCAAGAAGACCACCACCAACAACACCAAGAAGAGTAAGACAAATAATAGGAACAATGAGAAAAACAAAAACATTAACAAACACAATAACAAGAGCATGCACTAACAATAACAGCAACAGCAACAACAACCAGAATCAGAACCATAACCGACTGCAACCACAACCACAACGACATCAACAACAAGCAAAAGCAACTCCGAGACAAACAGCAATAACAACAGCAACGACAGCACCATCATATGGCAGTGCATCTGTGCGAATCAATTGCTGCAAGCAAGCCATGGGCCCCATACGCGAGGCAAAAGTTCAGGAAGTCATCGACGACCACATTTTGCCAGGTCACGGGGATGATGACATAAAAGTTCACCCGCTGCCACAGCACGATACCGTCCAGTGTCTCGTTCACCGACTCGTATCCTCACTGATTCCATGCATGTGCGTGTGCGTGCGTTTGTGTATGCGTGTGCATGTCCATGTGTGTGTATATGTGTGTGGGCAAATGCATGTTGTCTGTTGGCGTTTGTCGTACACTGTGCTAGCTTAATTCAAAAACACGATCTTGCTCTTGGTGAGAACTACTCGATTCACTCCCTCTATGCAATGCTCTTCAAGACCTGAAGCCACTGCGACTTCGCGGGCCAGCTGCACTGGGGAGTTGACAGGCCAGGTCATTTGAGCCCTAAACCATACCAGCTGATGATCCCACACACCCTACAGCAAAAAAACAGGAGTCTATGACCCCAAGGTAACTTGGAACCAGAACCCGTCAAATCCCTTGCAAAATCCTTGCTGTGCATCAAGTAACCCACTCGCTAAACTCCAGCTCTTCTTCTGCTATCGTTAGAACCCTGGACAAACTCTTGATGTCACGAGTTCATGAGGTTCCTCTGAGCATCTCTCAGGAGGAGAGAGACATGTTGCCATTGCACCATTCGTCATGCTGGAAGGTAAACTGCTACTACTGCTGTGGTTGTTGCTACAAGTTAGCTCAATGTCACCAAGTTGTGAGACTTACAGCTCAGCTCCTGTCACAACGGGATTTGGAAGGAAGGAAACACGAAATTGAAGTGGCCCTGTTGTAGTTCCTGCAACACTCTGACTATCTGACGATGAAGCTGAAGTCCCTCACAAGCACCTGCCAACCAAATGCCACAGGCTCTGCCGTTCGCTTTGTCCAGGTGATTTCTTGGATGCACATGAGCTACTGCCAACAGTTACAAGCAAAACAATACAGCCTGCATGATTGATAAGGGCCCCAATACACCCATACGTAATATGATCCGCATATTGGATCCTACGTTCCTCCAGGCTGAGGCCATGCAATCTCTCTAAGTATGCCTTCTTCATAAGGCAGTTGTACTCGACAGGTGGCTGTCATTTCCAAGGATCCCACCGTGGCGTCGAGCACAACTTGGACTACAGTCATGTTCGTTCCAGTCCACTGGATCACGTTCGCCGGGGATGCCGAGCACATTGTTCGGTGTACATTTTGGGGCTTTGGGTGGAAATCGCGCTCCCGCCAGCATCGCGCACATTTTGGCCTTCGTTTGATTTAAACAGACCACTCGAAGTCACTGACTCCGAGCAGAGCCACACTGCTCAGCGCCTCGGGGGGCGTTCCCCCCTCTACGAATCGGTCCGCGGCCAGAGTCTCGCGAGTGCAGTGTGTGTTCTGGGTTGCAAATCGTGCTCTGGCCACAGTGTGGTGCGCATTCTGGACTCATGGGGGTTCCTAGGTTGAGGGTTAAGGCTCTTCGCAAAGATGCTGGATCGCTGGTTTCTAGTTATGGGGAATACACGTTCTGGCGGTGGATGTAGTCTGTGCGGAGAGGACGCCACCTCTGGTTCCTTTAATTTAGTATGTTGTAGACAAGTTGTAGATAGTACAATGATTGGTTTTGGCCGGCATGCACCTGGAAAACCTGGAACTGCGCGATAGTCCAAACATCGAGGCATGTGTGCAGTATTCACACAATTACGGATACAAGCCTCAGCCGGTAACGGGGGGCTCTGGTGAACGCTTCGGACAACCATCAGCATGTGTGTTATCGTGGCAAGCTAGCAAGCACAGCGTGACGAGCAGCTGGGCCTTACTGAGGCCCGTCAACCTACATGCATTTTCGCAGACATCTTGCAGAACACGGCCTTCCGGAAGAAGCCAATGCTTCAGCCCAGGATCCCACTCCCATACTTTGGCGAAAGATTTGGGTGCCAGGCGACTTGATGTCTGATCTGGATCAACATGACTCGGACTAGGATCTGTCTGTGGGGTTGAAGGTTTGGGTTGGTGCCGCCAGTTGAATGCTTCAAGTATATTCTGCTAGTTATTGGGGAGGGTGGCTGTTCGGGCTGGCTCTTCTACTGGACCCTCTGCAATGCAGGCATGTGCTGGCCACGGTGCTGAAGCAGCATCAGCTGGTTTGATTGCAGCTGTAGCTCATCCTGGCAGTGCTCCAACTTTGCGCATCCAAGGTTGCTCAAGACGTGGCAAACTGACCCAACCTCGCGCTACTTTAACCATCTGCGTGAACACAGGCCTTGAGTCCCTGTAGCTCAGAAGAGGCGCCGGCGCTGTGTCAAATCACAATCTCGCATAAGCAGGGTCTCACGTATCAAGCGATCTTTGTCCTGCAACAAAACAACCCCACATCCTGACCGGAGCTTAAGCGCCAAGCCCGGAAACTGCAAAATGTCTTAGTACCACAAAACTCCAAGCCGCCGCAAGGTCATGTAAGATGAAGGCTACATGCTCAAGCGACCATCTGAGACTGGGCTCTGTAGACTTTATTCAGGCATGTCTCACGAAGCTTCGACATCGCAACCTTTACTCGCCGTAGCTTGGATCCGCGAAAACTGTTGGCGTGGCGGCCTGGTTCCGCCGACGCGAATCCTCGAAAGCCAGCGCCACAGCCTGTGCGGGGCATGTGAAACACGGACAGAACATAGATTACTCGATTTACATGACAGTTCCGAATCGCACTCCTGCTCAGAAAACACTTACTACGAGTTCACAGTAGTGGTCTTCGTGACTGCGATATGACTGTGATGGCTGATGCTATAGTCTCATTCGTGCTGCTGTAGGTGCAGTCGTTTGACTGTTCATCTTACCACCATGACTGATGCCCTTCTTCCGAGTGCCTCGAGCTTCTGACCCATCTCACCGAGCTGCTGCTGGAAGTCCAGCCGTTCCTGGCGCAGATTTCAAGAGCTTCGGGGATCGCGGGGTCTGGGCTTACGGTTTCCGTAGGTTATTAAGGGGTTTAGGCTAGCACTACCACTGCTTGACCACACGACCAACAGTTCTGCGGCTGTGGCTCTTACTAGCAGGCCCTGGATGTAAGAAAAGTGGAGTCATGCTGTGGAATTCCCCGGTCCGAAAAAAAGCACTGAAACGCGCCATTCATCGGTGCTATGGTTGGTGTATGCTGTTGTCTTTCGGGGTCCTAAAAAGGAAAATGCTAACTGATGAACGTACACGCGTGTGTGTGTGTGTGTGTGTGTGTGTGTGTGTGTGTGTGTGTGTGTGTGTTGGACTCCCTAGTATGGGAGACTCCCATCTACACATTCCTGCTGATTGTGGTAAGTTGGAGGGAGCCGTTCGGCAGGTGCGGTGCCAAACCCTCTACAACTTGCAACAACTTTCCTGCCCTCATCTGGGGTTTGAGGGTTCAAGATTTTTCAGGGTTTCGGTCTGTGGGTCTCTGCTCATTGGGCACAGAGTTGGCCTGGCCTGCGGCAGACTCTTCTCGACCATCCGTGTGACCTTTGCATAGGATTTTGCTTGATCGTCTAAGACCGTGAGTGGTTCCTGGGCTTACATACCATATCACCAGTCACGGTACGGCAGAAAGGCAAATTCGACCCCCGCTCCCCCCCAAACAAACAAACACACACACACACAGCCCACAGAGCCTCCCATAACAACTACATGAACTATATGTTGAAACACGACGGTTCACGGAGATTGGCAACTCGCGCGACCCTAAGCCCGAAATCCTCAAGTTGAAGCCCCCCTGCTCTACCCATAGGCTCCAGAGAAGTTCCTTTTTGGGGTTCATCTTTAGAATCCTACAAGGTAATCCCAAAAAGGAACCACAGTGGAGCCTATATTAAAGGATCATGGGACTTAGTAAGTAAGGTTATAAATACGGTAACTATACTTATAATTACTTATGACCCCAATTAAGGTACTTATTATAATCTTACTTACTAAGTCCCATGATCCTCCAAGTATATGGGTAAGCCCTACGATGGGAGTTTTGCCGCCCGCGCGCATTGGCGATCTTGCGGCGGCTCTCCTCGATCTGGAGCTCCAGCTGCGAATCTTTCTCCTGCTTTGCTAGGCTGTTCAGTAACCCACTGGGAGAAAGTACATACTTTTCTAGGCTTCTTGTTTATAATAGGAATCCAGAAACCTGAAAGTAAAAAAGTGTACCACTGAACAGCCTGGTTTACTATACTATACTATACTATAATATGCCATCATAAACTATAAAATATAATATAACATACCACAGTACACCATAATATACCATAAGTCAGGGACTTCGCATAGAGGGTTTGAGCAAAGATAGCTACGGTCAAGCTTGCCTCAAACCGAAAGCTTCAAGTTCGAACGTTGCGCTTACTACACTAAGTCCCTACACCCAGGACCGTCGGCTCAACAAAGCTGAAAGGATCCTGAAGGATTTCATAACAGTGCCAGCGTTCCAGCCTTCAGCAAGTTTTGCGTGGCCTTTGCTGCCGCATCAGCTTCATTCTTCGTCTCCTCCATCATGCTCTTGAGTTGAGCCTCTGGAATGACACTTTGCTTTTTTCTTTGGGGGGGGTCTACAGGCTTTGCCGTCCAGGTTCAGGGTTTGGGGAGGTCCAGGGAGCATGGGGCCTTCAAGCAAGTGATATGAGAGTTTCCGAAAATTGGGATCCTAATATAGTATCCTGAGTAGTAGGAACCTCAAAATAGCAGGATCCTTATGACAAGGACCCCCCAAAATAACAAGGTACCCCTAGTTTTCGGAAACTCCCCATATGTGCCCAGGCCCTTCGCAAAGCGAGGCGCATCCTCTCGGCTGAACTCAGACTGCAGCCACTCGGCCACCTGCGCTGAGAACTCGATAGAATCTACCTAGAGCCTAGAGTATAGATTGTGGTTTCTTTCTTAGTTACCTAATTCTAAGCTTAGGATCCTATACTGTCTAATTGGTTAACCGAAAAAGGAACAACAATGGAGACTATAGGTAAGGAGCAAGCAATCAAGAGAATTTATAGCCCGTTACCCAGACCTTCCAATATCCTTTATAAGGAATATCCCTTAATCAACATTAAGGCCATTGGTGGGCGATCCTACTATAGTTTAAGGTGTGCTTCTTCGACATTTTGTGGGGCTCCGACGGCTTCATAAGGTCTTCGGGCCCAACGAAGTGCAAGGAGGAGGCTCGCAAGGAAAGCTTTGTCAGGCTTTAATCCCTTCCCCCTAACACTCAACCCCCCCTAATATAAAAACTCCCGGCCCCCGGAATTTCGCGGTTTCGGGCCCCACATTCAATTTAAAAGGGAGGGGTGGCAGATCTGTATGTGTTTTAATTGAACGAAGACTACAGTAGTACTAAAGACAGCAGAGCTTTAGGGTTTAAGGGTTCAGGGCTCAGGGCTAAAGCTTTAGGGCTTGTGGCTTTAGGGCTCAGGGCTTTATAGAGCCAAAGATTACACCTGTACTAAAGACACCAGAGCTTTAGGGTTTAAGGGTTTAGGGCTCAGGGCTAAAGCATTAGGGCTTGGGCTTTAGGGCTTAAAGTTTAGGGCTCAGGGCTTTAGGGTCTAGGGCTGGAGGCTTAGGGCTTAGGGCTTTAGTAGGGCTCCAGGCTTAGGATAGCTAGCAGCCGGGAGTCCGGGTACGTGGATGCACCGAACCGAAACCCCCCTAATATAAAAACTAAACCTCCGAAATCCAGGTTTTATATTAGGGAGCGGGGGAAGCGTTTAATATTAGGGGGAAGGGATTATATATGCCCTGCACAGAAACGACGTTTAGGGTTTAGGGGTTTAGGGTACAGAGGTTTGCCAACAGTGGGTTGAGCCCGTGCGTCGATTGTCATGAGCACTGCCGATGCGCGATGCTTGATGCTTCTTGTCTCCACGCTTCGTCAAGCGAATGTGGGGATTACCGGGCGGTGGTAAAGGCCCGATGCAAAAAAAGGGGTTTAGGGTCATCCCGCTCCGAGAACACCCGGCCCTAACCGCTTGACCTGGTTTGCAGTCCCAGTTCTCGACTGTTCTTTGCCTGACCAGATGTCCAAACCGTAAATCCCAGCCCTGACACCCAAAAACCAAAGCTCGAAATCGGAAACCCTCTACAGCTCCTGACATGTACTTCTCCGCATCCTACATTCAATCAACCATACATAATCAAACCCGCAACCAGACCTCAAATGTCAAACCCACATGCCCTACACGAGCCCCCAGGAAGCAATACGAAAGGCCCACCAGTACCAAGACCGCCTAATGCGCACAGACGTCCTTAGACATTTAACTACAAGAACCCCGAAGCGGATGCCTCGAACATTCTCAGGAAGAGCAATTTTTAGGATGAGGACTCACTACATCCAAATGAGATGAAAAAGCAACAGCTACTTTACAGAATCCCAGAAGCTCAGTCATCAGAGGCTTCTGTCAAGGCCTGCTTCAGCTTCGCTGCTTCCTCCGCCCTGTTCTCCTTAGCCTCCTGTGCCCAGGCTGGGCTTATCTTTGAAGCTCTTTTCTTTACCAGGGGTTCGGTTGTAAGAGTAGGCATGCAAGTTGCCTTGTCAGTTGCAGGTCTGGGTCTAGGGCTTGCTTCAGGGTGTACCACCGTACCACCTACGCTCTAAATAGCTTCACGGAAAAGCTCAGGCTCTGATTTTTGAACTTCTCCAAACACAGAGTTCCGATCTGAATCTGATGCTGGCAGGTTCTGTGTCATCACGCAGTCTTCAACCCGGAGGAGATATTCCGCTGCACACTCAAGCAAGACTGTGCTCCTTCTCCACTTGCTGGGCTGCCGACTGCGCCTCCAGTGCACAGGGTTCTACATTCCGAAAACCTGAAGGGTTTAGGGTGAACGAGGGGGCCCCTGAATTTTAGGGGTCCTCGGAGGTCAGGCCCTGCTGCTCAGGGTGCTGCATTAGGTGGCGCAAAACACCCCCTATACCATCGACAGCGAGGTGAGGCAATTTTTCCCATCCATCTAGGAACTTGGTAAAAAGGTTAGTTCGAACTATCTATTACTATAACTGCACATACGGAAGTTACAACTCGTGTGCACAACGTGTTTAGCTATTGCATGAGCGCAAGGCTTTTTAAAGCATTCGCGTACGGAATCGCATTGAAGCGAACTGGTTTCTCTGCACCACTGCACTGCCACCCACACTCTGTGTGTTGCAGCACCCGGCACCCCTGCCGGCACACCCTCCGCATCCCTTGCCCCCGCAGGGCGGTGTAGGGTACGGTGCAGCGGTATCGGTAAAGAATGTTGTCGGCGCGGGGGTGTAGGGCTGCCGGGGCCGGGGCGAGGGACATAGGGGAAGCAGCGCAGGAGGTGTACAGGTGCAAGGGCACATGGGTGCATGGGTACTGCACCACACCTCATCTGTAAGCAAGAATACTTACAACATCTTACAACGCATCCATGTGAACAAGCATTTTATCAGCATGGGCGAACATCACGGAAAACGAACCGGATGAACGATAAACGGAGATCCTTCAATGAAGGACCCAAGCTGATGTCTCGGGAGTGCATGGGGGGTCCAGTGCTGGGGAAAGTACTCCCCCGCCTCTGGCAGCACTTGCGCTGCCTCTTGCTTGACCTCGCCCAGCTCCTGACAGAAGGGAACAAAGCCTTTCGACTTGAGGGCACGTTCCCGAAATCTCCGGTACAGAACGGACCCGTAGGGGCCCCTACTCCTACTCCATTAAGGCTCCTATAATATATGTGCCTCCAAACTTCACAAGCCAGCGTACGCCTCTCCTGGCTGAGAGAGCCGACCTTCGAAAGCAGCGCCAGCAACTCGCCTAAAAGGCATTGGACTTTAGAGCTTTGTGTGCTTAGGGTTTAGGGATTAGGGTTTGGCTTTCGAAGGTGGTCCCTTTTGCTTATATGCTAAGATTATGAGATGTACAGAGATTCAAAAGAATCTATGCCTGTCGTCGCCAAGTCAAATTGTCAAAGGGCCTGAGCAGCACTGTTTTTAGAACAAGCATTCGATGCTTGAGGTCGCCAGGTGTTCGGGCATTTCGTAGTGGATCTGGGCTTTGGGATTTTGCCTCCGATTACGGTTCTGGATTGATGGTTCCGAGTTATCAGGCTTTTGAGTTTCGGATTTCGGATCAGAGTTTGTTAAGTGGCTTAGAGTTCGAGGCCTGCAAGTACACACTACTACTCAGCCGTGTCACCTTGCGACAGTGTTGCCACCTTTACGATAGCGTCGCGGTTCCACTCCTCGGCTGGAATCGGCAAAATGGCATTCAGTTAGTTCCTCCTGGGCTTGGGTTGGGACTGCCGAATTTTGGAGGGGCCTTAATACTTAGAGTGGAGTTTGGGGGCGTATTCATAAGAAGGAACCCCCACACAAGAGTATTAGTAATTATTCCAGCACCGAAATTGATATTACACGTCATCCAGGTTTTGCCGCCGTTGAGGCAGCTCCTTGCGGGCTGCAATACAGCAAGCGATGCTACTCAGAGGAATCATCACAAAACACGCTTCATGCTTTGAGGTTGGTCATTGCATGGCGAGGGGCCGTTCTTTTCGCCAGCGCCTGCCCACGTCAAAGGGCGAAGGAATACGCACTAAGGTATGCGAAGTATGCTATGCCGATTTCATGCAAAGCCAGGTTTGTTTTGCCTCCCGCCTGGCACTCAAAGCCAGGGTCAAGGGTTCTACTGCTTTGGGTTGGTTAAGGTTCTGAATATTTTTAGGCCTCCAGCAAAGCGTCGAGAGTTCCAGGACTTCCACAATTACTCTTGCTGTTGTCGTTACTTTTGTTAAAAAAGTTATCAAGCTTTTTGGAAAGGCACATGCTATGACTACTCAAAACGTTGTCATAACTACCTATATTGGTGCACATTATTACTTGGGCTCGCTTTGTAGCAGTGATAACCGAACTTGCAGAAGTAGAGGCAGTGACTTCAGTAGTATAAATACTGCTACCTAAGCAGCTGCTGCTTGAGCTGAAGGCAAGTAGTACTGACTGAGGTGCAGACCTACGCTCACCAAACGTAGTTCGACGTCCAAACTAAAGGTGCAATGGGCACGATCAAAATGACGGCTGGCACTTGGCTAGGGCCCATCTGCTCGCCATCACCGTCATCTTTTAAGCGGCCGAGCCACTTGGGCTCGTGTGTAAAAGGCTTAGCACAACGACACGTGAGTACGTCCTGCGGCCACCCGAAGATAGTATCTGGGGTAAAGAACGAATCGTTCTCCCATTGCGAACCTCATATGGATCTAGAAAGAACAAACTGTACTTTACCGGAAGATGCACTGAGGCTCACTGTCACAAAGGCGTGGCAGGACCTGCAAGTCATCGGAGAGTTGTCCATTCCTGGGCTAGAGATACAAGTCGTATGGTCTAGAGGAGGTGCAGGCAGATGCTACAACGCTTGTGGAAGTAGCAGAAGCAAGTAGCACTAGTGCCGGAAACATCTGAGAAGTGCCACTGCAGATGGACAGAGTAGCTGGCTGAGGGTTTGGTGTCTAGAAGTTTAGGGTTTTGGAATACCCAGCTAGTAAGCCAGTGAATCGCAGTCTGCGCACGGCTGACAACAATAGAACCTCGCAAGAAAGCTGCGGAGAGACTCGGAGCTTGAAAGAATCATCCTGTTTTGGGATCTTCAGAAATGTGGCACCCTGGTGTAGAACCGCAAATACTCGGATCCTTATGGACCTCTGAATTCTCACTCCACTTCGAACAAGCCGCCAAACAAAGAAAAAACCTAGAGTCAATACATGCGCACAGATTCGCTTAATATTCTGGCATAGTTCTATAGCAGCTGTAGGCCGAGAGCCTCAAAGACTGTAGATTAATGTATGTACAGTAGGGACTGTTTATACTCCATGTAACGCATGTAAGGACTATAGGTGAGGATCTTCCCTCGTAGCTAACATATAGTAATCCAAAATCCCCTATGCTATATGAGCCAAGAATCAGCACGGACCGGATCTCCTGAACTTGCTGCGTAAGGCGCTTGTCAGCCTTCACGAGCCTTGTCGGGATCGGATTGAAACGGCACAGAATCTGAAAATCTGGTTTTTAGGTTTAAAGTTTAGGATTAGAGGTCTCGGCGCTCACCCTCGGACATGCCAATGGGAGGTTCTTGATGTTTAGTCGGTTAGAAGTTAAAAGTTCCATCTCTAAGGGCTTACGACTTAGGATTTTTCAGTAAGGAACAGGCCGTAGAGTCCGTAGAGAGTAAGAATGCAAAAAGGGCTCTTAGGTTTTAGGGCCTTGGAGTTCAGGGTTTGGTGCGGCGCAGGACTGTTGGAGTTAAGTGGTTTTGAAACCTTTGTATAGTGCCAGGGTTCGGCGTTGGCTACGTTCGGGTTTAGAAACCTCTCAAAAATGTGGCCAGGAAATGCAGATGACAGAAGCCAGCGCCGAGATTAACGGGCGGAGCTCGACGGCTTAATGTCGACGAAGTAGTAGGATCCATATTAAAAGGACCCCAAAACAATGTACCCCTAATTTTCGGAAACCCTAAACCCTTATGGAGCCCTTTAAAGGAACCCCTACTGTATTCATGGTACGGTAGCAAGAGCTCGTTGCGCATTGCTGCAGTGCCCGATGGCAGCTTCTTTCAAACCCCCTCTCTAAACCCAGAGAACGAATTCTACTGGCCAGGCAGCACGTCTATCTCGTCCTGAATCGTGGCCATCGCAACCATGCTGCAGGTCCTTGGTTCATGAGGCCAAACAGTTACTCGGAAGGCAGCTGGCCACGGAGTCTCCCACGGATGCTGCATCTCCAGTGGTCATGTGGCCTTCCTTCATGAGGATTGCCGGACTTGTCCCATTTTGTTGACGGTTTGGGCGACCCTCTGGAATGTGAAGATGTTTCGGAATTGTGTTCGCTTGTGTCTTCACAGTTGGTGTACGGGAAGCTTAGTGGAAGTGGGTGCTCTGGGTGAAGGCCTGGCGTCAACTTTTGCGAAGATTGGTCAAGATAACTTCATGGTTGGGCGGGGAGGGCTGTGGAAACATTTTGAAAAATGTGAGGTATTGAGCACGTTTGTGTGCTTTCCGGGGTGATGGCTCTTGGTACTGCTGAAGAGCCAGCGGCTTGTGAATTGCATGAGGCCCGCAGAAGAGTTGACGCTGCTCAACAAAATCATGAACGGATCCGGCCAATGCAGAGCCGAGTAGCGCTAGAAGCTTCCACATGATGATCGGACAAATGCGCATGGCGGTCGATCTGGGTAGTTGTCAAAATTATGGTCCCTTTATTTTTGGGCACCCTAAATATTAGGTACCGCAGTATAATAGGAACCCAAAAAGGGACCCTAATTTTGACAACCACCCATGTGCCAGTCTGCAGCTAAGACTTTGTTACCATGTCCAGAGTCTGCCGGGCATCCCTCTGCCTGGTTCCTCCCAAGTACACTGTTTTGCAAGATGCTGCGGCAGGTCTATTCCGAAACAGCTGCGGCCAACTCCAAGAGTTCTCAAGAAGCACTCAGTGGAATCGCAGCCGGCATTTAGGACACGGGCAGATGGCCATCATTAGCCATGAGTTTCGAAACGATGTATTTGAATCACTCCTTATTAAGACGCACGTCTGTTGATTTGAGGACTGCTGGCGAGTTAACGGATTTGGTGTTTCCGGGAAATTTAACGTTTTACTCCTACTCCGGCTCTGCGAACGTCAAGGCTCAAGGCCGATGGTGTGGCACTCGTATCCGGCCTGGAGTGGGCTCCTCAAGGCAACAGGAAACGCCATTTTCCGAGTAGTAACAGTCGCAGCAGTAGCAGTAGGAGCAGCAGCAGGGGAGTAGGAGTAGGAGGAGGAGGAGGAGGAGGTGGAGATGAAGGGGTGAGTAGGAGGAGGAGGAGGAGTAGTAGGAATAGGAGTAGAATAGTAGTAGCAGAAGTAGAAGTAGTAGTACTAGCAGTAGTAGTAGTAGTAGTAGTAGTAGTAGTAGTAGTAGTAGTAGTAGTAGTAGTAGTAGTAGTAGTAGTAGTAGTAGTACCAGTAGTAGTAGTAGTAGTAGTAGTAGTAGTAGTAGTAGTAGTAGTAGTAGTGGTGGTAGTAGTAGTAGTAGTAGTGGTGGTAGTAGTAGTAGTAGCAGCAGCAGAAAGTAGCAGGGCATGTGTTTGCGGCACCAGATGGTCATTGGGTCTCGGCCGTTGCAGCTGATTGTTTTCACGGTTCATGTGTAGGTATACAGCTGTATGTAGTGTTGGAAGAAAGGAAATTACAGTCATGGCTACTCCATTTCGCAGGCTACCGACAATGCTTGTTGAAACTCAGGACTGCCTCATAACACTTCACATACACTTCACTGACTATAAATGCGTCCAGTTGCCGCAAGTGCAACCACCTATGTGGCTTCAAGTACGTCAGACTCGCGAAGATGTCCGTTCAGGACTTTCGGTGTGTAGGGGTCTAAGTATGGCTTCAAGGTTTGGAGGGCCTAAGGGCTTAGGAGACGAAGCAAGGAGGACTTCCCAAGCCCCATCCAGATGCGACGCCCTTATCCGTCGTGACTGTCCAGACCTTACGAACGCACCTGAACGACGTATGTAGAACCAATGAATGTAAATTTTCAGGCATGTGTTTGTGAAGGTAAGTGCGTGAATACTCAGTACATGAAGACGCGTACATACACACATGCATTGTACAGTATACAGACAGACATATGGATAGGCAAGCAGGCAGACCGGCAGGCAGACTACGTGCTTACATGTAGTTGTGCGCTCTGGGTGCTGCCTCCATGGTATCCCCTCCAAATACACGGGCCTGGAGGCTTAGGCGCCTGTGTCACAGAGACAAGGAGGGGGTCTGAACTCCGAAGCTCAAGATCCCAGCCGGGCGTGCACAACTATTTATATGTACGACAATAGGCATGCAGACGGTCACACATGCATACAAGCATACATGCATGCACACGTACATGCACATAAGCGCACAAACTTACATACATACATACATGCATGCATACATACATACATGCAGTACCAAGCATTCTGTTGCATACATGACTCGCATGACATCCCATACATACATACAGACAGACAGACATACATGCTTGTTTACATACGTAAGTCAGCACATCTCCAAAGGTATATGTACATAGATATGTACATATGTTAGCAGAATGTGCACATACTTTCATATACCTGTTTATGTTTATACGTATGTGCACATGTATGTGCACATGTCTTTACATATCTGTCTCTCCATCTTCTACTTCTCTACCCGTCTGATTACCTGTCCACACACCTCACCTATCTATCTGCCTATCTGCCTAGCTATACATGTAGGTTGTCGGTCTTGTTATCTGTCTGATTACCTGTCTATCAACCGGCCTATTTATCCATCTGTTTGTCTTCTTGTCTACCGCTGCATCATTCATTCTCTCTCGTATCTATCTGTCTGTCCTTCTTTCCCTTCTGTGACTCTTACATATCCGGTCTGTCTGTCTAGCTACCTACCTATCTACCATTGTGTCTTCCTATACATCTGTCGACTTGTCTATACTTAGCTATGCTTGTACCCAGCTGCTAGCTTCTATCATGCCCGTAGCTGCGTGGTTTGAGCTTATGAGCTTCTGCTGCGAGTCTTTCCAGCTGGCAACTCCCGTCCTTGGCCTTCCGTGCCCGTGCAGCAGACTCATCAACCTGGCCCAGAAAGAAGCCAGCAACTTGTCAAGGGTTAAGGTTTGGCACAGGCCAAAAGCATGCAATAGAAACCCACACTTACTCCCAACCCCAAAATACCTGAAACCCTGAACCTAAAGTCCTGAGCTTCCAACCTCACGTTTGTGGAAGCCAGACTCTGCCTAGATCCAAACCCTTGGTTGACCCCAACTGCAACCTCCAAACTTTTCTTCTGCGGCCAAGCCGAATATGTCACGAAATGTGGACGACATGGTGTACACAGAAGGTACTGAGGGTGTATAGAGGTGTCACAACGCGGTATAGGATGTTTTAAAAGGCTTTCGCAGGGTTCACGGTAATGAACACAGTCCAGTGTAATGTTTTCTTGGGGTTTGCCAGGGTTATTAATGGTCTTCCTATCCTCTATACTTGGGTTACTTTACATTATGGGGTCCAAAACCAGGGTTTTCAGGTTCATGATGTACCCAGGGAAACCAGCCGTCATGTGTGTAGAATCTTAAAAGGTCTTCCTACTGCAAACTTTAAGCCAATTCTCCTAGACACTTGCGTCGACCAGGCTCAAACAGGAAAGCATGCCTCCTCGTCCTTAGCATCGCTTGGGGAGTTTCTGAAAACTAGAAGTGCTTTGTATAAGGTCCTTTTAATCAGGACCTTACTTACTCTTCATATCAATGTCTGACTATTTTCCGAAATCCTGTTGAGGGCATAATCTGAGAGCCGCTGCAGTCTACAGAATCTGCAGAGTTTGCAGAGCCCGCTGTGCTCCTGTACATGGCCTGCTCGGCTTAAGCACATTGCATAATGTGTCCGTCGGCACAACACACACGAGATCGAGAGAGGGTGTTGAGTCACTATGATCATCAAAAACCTGCCTACCCCTCCATGTCAATGTCAAGTTGTGTAACCTACTTACATTGTGCTTCCGGGGCGGTCACTCGCCCAACTTGCTGTGTTCCTTACGATGTTTGGCAAACTCCCACACAAAAGCTTCATGCTATGTATTCAACTGCGGCATGGCCTTAAGAATCAGCACGGACACCTTGCAACCCGAAAGCGACCCGAAAGCGGCTATTTGCCGAGCGTCTGCGGCATCAGGGACGCCGGACATTTTTTTCCGGTCCTTTGCCGCTTGACCTCGGATGCAGGAGGAGCAGGGCGCCGAGGATACGTAAGAATAGTAACGCTAACAATACTAATACCAACAATAAGGCTCATCATGATCCGTAATGACAATAATTACAACAGTTTCATCGCACGCAAAGTGTTCTAATTTCGTTGGGGATTCTTGATTGGTCTTAAACCCTAACATGTGCACGTCCCAGGTGCGCATCTCCTTCAGTTCCGAGGGTGTGATGGCATCGCGGTCCGGAATCTTCTTAGGTGCCTGCCGGAAGCGGAGCGACTCGACTCTCACAGTCAAGCACTTAGTCAACAGCATCATAAGATAATGCCAAGGAGTAAGAGACTACAGAAGAGGCAAGAGAAGAAACTTCGGGGCCGTTGACCAGCACCGTGCAGCTTAAATCCGAAACTGCCAGGCACCTGCGACTTGGTGCCCTTGTCCCTGAGTAGCTCCGCCCGCACGGACCTGTGAACATGTTGAGGTTTGGGATTGACTCGCCTGCGTTTGGAGTCTCTTACTAACAGTCCACTTCCTTCAAAATGTTGAGGTTTGGGATTGACTCGCCTGCGTTTGGAGTCTCTTACTAACAGTCCACTTCCTTCAAAATGTTGAGGTTTGGGATTGACTCGCATACTTTTGGAGTCTCTTACTAACAGTCTATCGCAACCCACTAAACAGTTCTAGTACAACATCGCACAAAGACCCTTTTCTAGAATCTGTTCTCCAAGCTCCAAGCAAAGACTCCACCCGCCCTTGCAGCACAGCATCGTGATAGCCGTGCACATACATGCTATGGCATAGAAATAAAGGGAATGCAATGACAGAGTCTTCTGTCGCGACGCTTGCTCGAGGTATGTGAAGCTGTTCTTGGGCTACGGGTCTTTAAACTTTTGCTGTTTAAAACAAAACCCCATA